GGGGAAGGAATAAGCAATTTTAACTGGTCAAATACATAGCCTAGGAGAAACCTTTTCTTTTATCTTATATGTCTCTAATCCAGTAAAGTCGTCTTCCTAAAAATAATTATACCTGACATTCAGAAGCGTTATTTGTAGCTTTTTTGGGTTTTACCTGTAAGTTCAAAATTATTTTACAGACCCTGTACCCTAGATATCAGTGAAAAAAATTACCTACCTTGCACAAATCACAGAACTCTAGTTTCTTAGTTCTTTTGGCCTTATCTATAAAAATAACAGTAGTAGCTCATTCATGTTGAAATAAAGTCACTCATAACTGAAAAAGCTATATATACTCATATACAAAGTTTGATATACCTAAAATTGTACATCAGCAGGATGAAACCACACACACACACACACACACACACACACACACACACACAAACACATTGTAGGATGAGATCAAGTTCTAGGGGAAACTTCATTAGACCTGTGATCTTCACCCTGGCAGGAATAGATGTAGCATATCACTGTACAGCTTTCCTTAGCCTCCAACTCCTGATAGGGACATATGGCTGCCAGGCCCCAGTACTGGCTCTGAGAATGTCTTTTGTGTTATTATTCCTTTATTTCTGGGAGAATTGACATTAAAACATATATGTGGTCCTGGGATAATGTTGGCTGCTGTGTTGGGGATAGTCTTTGTGAGGAGAAGAGGAGAGGAAACTATTGGAGAGATTATTAAAATAATCTGACAGTTGGTGGCTTGGACCAGAACAGTCATAACAGAAATAATTAGTGGACTGATTCTGGATCTATAGTCCATGAAGAGCCAAAAAGGCTTACTGATAGATCAGATATATTGTTACATCTGAGGTAAAGTCTTCAAAAGGACTTGCAAGAATGGAGCTGCTATCTTCTAAAAGTGTACAGAGCTAGGCACATGTTAGGAGGGAGCTCAAGGGCTTGCTTAGACACATTAGGAGGTGGTAACCTCTAGCAAGCAGGAAACCCTAGTCCAGCATTCAGTGGTGAAGTCAAAGCTGGAGGTTCATGTGAGACTCATCAGCATAGAGAATAATCCAAAGCCACAAGACAGTAAGAGATCACCTTGGGAGTAGTTATAGAAGGGAATCAAGGACTGAGTCTTAGAGTAGGTGAGATTAAGAACCAGGAAGGGTGTCTGACTGCAGTCTGTGAGGTGGCAGAACTGTAGTGGGTACTGACCTGGAATCCAAGGAAAGGAATTGTTTCAGAAGGACCTGAGAGTCCAGGAAAGAAGTAGCCTGAAAATTTACCACTGGGTTTAGTAATCTAGAATAATTTATGATTAAGATTTGTTGGGGTGGAATGTTGAAGACAAAAATCTCACTGAAGTAGATTTAAAAGTATAGGAGGAGAGGAATTGGAAATGGAGAGTATAAATGACTCAAAGATGTTTTTATAATAAAGGAGAGAAACAGGTGATAATCAGGAGGAGATGTAGGTTTAAAATAGTTTGCAAGAAGGGAACCAGTGAAGAGACAGGGGACTCAGGAAAAATGGAGGGATTGTCTTTGAATGCTGACATCAAATAGCAACTTCACTTTAAAGGAAATAAGAAAATTGTTTTTGTTTTTATTTTTGTTTTTGTTTTTTGTCCTGAATCAAATTTGAGTGGCATGGGAACACAGATTTAAATATCCCTGAAAGCATATTCCACTGTAAAAGAACTTTCATATGAATATTCATAGCCAAAGAACAAGCCAAATCATAAATTAATACATTCGGTAGATAAGTGGGTAGAAGTATCAGGTGATTGCAGCAGAGTGGGAGAATCTCTTCTATAGGTTTGAAGTGTTATAGCAATCTTAGCTTCATGGTTGTGGGGGCTAGCAGCCTGCTAAGCTTAGTGATACATTCCCAGAGGTTTACTTAATAGTCATGAGGATATTAGATCAGATGCAGAAGATGAAAGAAAAGGCTACTAAAAGAGTTTAAGATAGCTCGAGGTGATTTTGGCTCTGCACAAGCAACATTCCAACCATGTTCAACTCAGCCAAGTTTAAACAGTCGGCAGAATCTTCAGATATATGCAACTCTTAAGAGAACTTTAGCTGCACAAGAGAGAGTTTAAGATAATGTCAAAAAATATTGGACTCTAAATTGAGTAAAGAGATGGCATGAGTAAACTCCTGGTTGGAGTAAGGTGAAATCTTGGTGTAGTTTTAATTTGCATTTCTCAAATTGCTACAGATGTTCAACACTTTTTCATAGATCTGTTGACTGTGTGTCTTCTTTTGAGAAGTATCTGTTTAGTTCCTTTGCCCATTTGCTGTTTTTTGTTGTTGTTTTTTGTTTGTTTGTTTGTTTTTTGAGTTCTTTGTATATCCTGTAAATTAAAGCCTCATTTGAGGTGTGGGTGGTAAAGATTTTCTCCCATTTGGAAGGCTTTCCTTTGTTGCGAAGAAGCTTTTTAGTTTGATACCATCCTATTCATTGATTCTTGATTTTATTTCTTGTGCTTTATGTCTTTTTCAGGAAGTTCCTAGCTGGCATATTGGAGTGTTGGGCCTACATTTTTTTCTAGCAGGTACAGGCTATTTGGCTTATGTCTAGGTCTTTGATCCACTTTGAACTGAGTTTTGTGCAAGGTGAGAGAGATAGGGGTTAAATTTCATTCTACTACATATGGATTTCCCGCTTGCCAAGCATCTTTTGTTGAAAAGGCTTTCTTTTCTCCAATGTATGTTTTCTACACCTTTGTCTAGTATAAGATGATATATTTATGTGGGTTTGTCTCTGTGTCTTCTCTTCTATTTCATTGATCTTCATGCCTATTTTGTTGCCAGTACCATGTTGCTTAGCAAGCACTTCTAAACCGCAATTTAGGGTTTCACATAGTTCTTTAAATTATTTTTATTTTATTTTATTTTTTGCATTGCTGGGGATCCAGCTCATAGCTTATACCTGCCAGGCATGCATTCTACCACCGATATACAACCCTACTTTTTTTTTTTGTAATACAATACTAGCATACTCTTTTAATAGCATAATTAAAAGAGAGTCTAAATAGAAATTCTATAATTTGAGTAACTGAGTTTAGTTAAATTTCCTGGTAAAAAGAGCCATCATTCTTTTATCTAAATTTTAGTTATAATTCAAATATTGTTTAGCTCAAATGATCTAATAGTTTTAGTTAGCTGTTTGTTCTGTCTTGTATTGAGCCTGCGTGTCTATTCAAGTAAATCTTACACATTTATTTGTGTGAATATGTTTTCTTCCAGGAATAGAAGATGGTAGCGAATTGGGGGGGAGAGGAGTTTCAAATTTATTAAATAGAAATTTTATACCTAAATATTGTATTCCTCCAATTCTAGTTTGGGCAAATTTAAATTTCTGTGTGGTGTTGATCTAAACCATCATCCCAGAGAGAGAGGGGAAGAGATGAAAAGAAAGGCATACCCTTGGAATTCTGAGACTTTTTGCAATTTTCTAGCACTTTCACAACATAGTGATGATTGTAGGGCTTCAGTGATTGTCAGAAAGTCATGTTTTTCCTGTGGAGCTTTCCTCTCCTCTACTCTCTTCCCTTCTCCTCTATTATTTCCCTTCCTCCTTTCTCCTCCCCCCTCTTCTTTCTCCCCCCTGTGCATTCAGAAATTGGCTTAAAATGACATAATTCTATAAAAACAAAAGGGACATTTTCAAACTGAGTCTCATAAGATCTCTGAAGAGGAATCCTAGCAGAAGGTGACATCTCTATTTTGATGAAGTTTTCCTTTTACCTGTTTCATACATTGGGATTTCATTGAAAAAAAAAAAAGTAAAGGTTTTCAGAGCTTTAAAAAAAAAAAAAACAATAAAAACAAAAAGAGGTCTGGACGACTTGCTTGCAGCCCGTGTCAAAGGTCAGCTTCACCTACTGTCCTCTCTGGGTTCTTTTGTCCATGACGCATCACTTCTCACCACAGGTTGGTGTGCATATTAACATTCCTTAATAGGTAGGACCACAAAATTACTTAATTATTAGTGTTGTTATTTAAGACATAAATTCTCATATGAAAATTTACATCCCAATATTCTTTAGTTTATTTTTAGTTGATCCCTTCTACAATGCAAAGAAAAACTCTACAGGTTGAAAAAAGAAGTCGAACTAGGAGATAAGACCTCAGATCTCATTCCGGTTTTTATGATTTTATGAACTAGACCTCAATTTCCTGCCAAGGAAATAAGGCTAACAAAACATACCATGTCTTTCTCACAAGGAATGATGTTGATATTACAGATAAGTAAACAAGATTTTAAATGAAATAATGACTGGAATATATGTAGAATTGCTTTGCAAACTGGAAACAAAGTTATGCAAGCTTCTTTCATTATAATCAGTTATCAGAAGAATCTTATATATGACTAAACACAAAAAGCCAGCACTAGTGGGTCTTAATTCTACATAACAGACACGTTTAAAACATTTGTTTCTTTTTGCTAATATATTTTACTTGTAAGTTTTCTGGCAATTTGTATCTTCCCTTTAGAATGTAAGCATCACAACTAGGTTCTGGCTTTTTAGACAAATAGCATAAGTAAAAGAAAGAAGAAAAAAAAGGGAAATAGTGAGTGTGGGGGGTCTATATCAAAGTGTATGATGATAATCATTATTTGACCTCTGATCTGTAAACATGAAGGTTTCATGTAGTTAAACCTAATAATTCAGCTTTCTGCTTTAGCAAAATGTCCAGATCCAACTAGCAGTTTCAAAAAAAAATCATTGAATTGAAATGAACTTGGAAATAAAGCTTCTTCCATAATGATTATTCTTCAGTAGGAACAATCAACAGGAAGCTATGGGCAAGTGTGTTAAAAATGCAAGGAATCAAATTACTGATTTACCCTTTCTCTCTTTTTTCCCCCCTCCCATCTTTCTGGGATAGGTATGTGCAAATAAAAGGAGAAGGAACTATAAACTGACCATGGATCTGGAAAAAGATTATGCGACACACAAAGGGAAAAATAAACTTGGTGGAGAATTGTCAGGCATGCTGCCCCTTTGCAACAATATAATTAATATCTCCTGTGTGAAAAGCAACTGGTCAAGCCATGTTCGTGCTTCATTGTACAGCTTAATGGTACTGATAATTCTGATCACTCTGGTTGGCAATCTGATAGTCATTATTTCCATACCACATTTCAAGCAACTTCACACCCCCACTAATTGGCTCATTCATTCCATGGCCATTGTGGACTTCCTGCTGGGGTGCCTGGTGATGCCTTATAGCATGGTGAGGTCAGTTGAGCACTGCTGGTATTTTGGAGAGTTCTTCTGTAAAATTCACACTAGCACTGACATTATGCTGAGTTCAGCCTCCATTTTTCACTTGTCCTTCATTTCCATTGACCGCTACTATGCAGTGTGTGATCCATTGAGATACAAAGCCAGGATCAATATCTTGGTAATTCTTGTGATGATCTTCATTAGTTGGAGCATTCCTGCTATTTTTGCATTTGGAATGATCTTTCTGGAGCTAAACTTCAAAGGAATTGAAGAGATATATTATAAACATTTTCACTGCACAGGGGGCTGTTCGATTGTCTTTAGCAAAACATCTGGGGTATTGGCCTTTCTGACTTCTTTCTATATACCTGGGTCTGTTATGTTGTGTGTCTACTACAGAATATATTTCATAGCTAAAGGGCAAGCAAGATCAATTAATCATACAAATCAGAAGCTTCACTTTGGATTAGAAGAGAAAAATGGAATTTCACAAAACAAAAAAAGAAAAGCTGCGAAGACTTTAGGGATCATGATGGGTGTTTTCCTGATATGCTGGAGCCCTTTCTTTGTGTGCACAGTCATGGATCCTTTCCTGAACTACACAATTCTACCTCCTTTGAATGATGCATTCATTTGGTTTGGCTACTTGAACTCTACTTTTAATCCAATGGTTTATGCATTTTTCTATCCCTGGTTCAGAAGAGCATTGAAGACAATTGTACTTGGTAAAATTTTTCAAAGAGATTCATTTAGGTGTAAGTTATTTTTAGAATTAAATCCACAATAATTTTATTATTGCAAAATGGTTAGTGATCCAGTTCAGGAACACAACATTACAACCGAATGCACTAACTACATGGATCTTTCATTTGTTATTTGAGTCAAAATACTTATGGTGAGCCAAGTTATGCTTATCATCTCTTATATGGAACATGGTAGATGCGATCTTAGCCCTTCTTATGTTACATACACAAATTTTGAAAACCTAGTATTTAAGGACCTACATTTTAAAGAACATTTCCTAGGACTAGGTTGTAGCTCAGTGGAAAAGTGCTTGGTTAGCATGTACAAGGCTCCAGTTTGATCTCCAGCAACATGAAAGGCGGGTAGTGGTGAGGAGGAGAAGTAGGAGGAGGAGGTGGAGGATAATTCTTCTTCTGAAGAACTTCTCCTGCTCTTAGATGAACTTACATAAGTTTACAGTGGTACCTTACTAAGTGGTTCAGTAATGGAAACTATAAGACTATATTTGGGGATACAAATTGGAATGATTTTGTCACATTTGCATATAGAAATTTGTCATATATGTATAGTTGGCCCTCCATATATTCAGGTTCTGCATCTGCAGATTTAAGTAATCTTAGATCAAAAATTTTGTGGAAAAAGAACTTTGTGCCTATAGAGAACACTTATAGATGTTTTTGGTTTTTCATTATTATAGTTGTCAATATAGTAACCATTTACGTGACATTTACACAGTATTAGCTATTGCAAGTTATCTACAAGTGATTTGAAGTATATGGGAGGATGTCACAGATAATAAGCAAATGATATGCTATTTTATATAGGAGATGTCACATCCATGGATTTTTATATCTGCTGAAGATCCTGAAACAAATACCACAAGGATACTGAGGGACAACTGCATGTGTCTTTTTTGTGTATAAGGATTTTTATAACCATTTCCCTATCATCTACTATTTCAGTTGTTTCTAATTTCTTAAATAATAACAGTTAAATTATGTTCTGTCTGTTACTTGCTACTGAGGCCATGGAAATGTCTGAAAGGATTTAACCATATTTTAAGGTTATATCTTGCATGGTGGACTCAAAATATATCCAGAATAAAACAAGGTCACTTATTTTAAGGTCAGAATATACATACCATGCCTACTAAAACAGTATCTACAAAAAGAAAAAAAAAAAAGAAACAAATAGTGGTTTCCAAAAATGTGCCTTAATAGGAAATGGGAAACATTCTAAATTATATACATTGATCTGCAATTGAACTATTTCTTACATAGACTTTACGTGGTTTGTTTCAGGTTAAGTATCATCAATTTGAATTTATTCAATAATAGCAATTTTTGCTCAAGTGAGTTAGGGCAAGGTGGCCAATTTTAAATGAAACTAAAATGCGCACTCCTACCTATATCTGTCTGTTCACAAATCTGATGATCTTCTGGGGATATATTAAATCTTTTCATCTATTATACTCTGTTTCCGAACTATATTTTGTCTCATTGATCTGGCTAGACTGTTTTTCTAATACATACAAAAAGTTTATGAGTGACCTTCTAATTTAGTATGTGGTAAGACAAGTTGCCTATAATCACTTCTTTTTAAAACACTACCTTGAATTTATTTACCTGTGAGACCAATGTGTCAAAATTTTAAAGTAAAAAAAAAGCACTTTGAGAGATTTTTATCCTTTACAGCAAATGAGGTTCATTTGCTCCAACATATTCCTCTAGGATTATTTCTAAATGTTGAATAAATTTCTGAAATCATTTTGTTTTTATGTAAACATTATTGCTGGTATATAATAAAGTTTATTTTAACTTTCCAGTTGACTTGTTTAGGTTTTCATTATAGATATTGATGTTATCTATAATGCTAAGTTTTATCTCCTTTGAAATAATAATGATTTAATAATGATTCTTATGCATATTCCTTACTATGCTCTACTAATCAGAATTTCTAGAGCAATTCTGATAATGGTGATAAAAGAGTCATCTTTATCATACACTTCTTTTAAATTACTCAGGCTTTAATAGATTTTATGTTTTTCTTGGAACAAGATCATGAGCCAGGTAATTCTATATTGTTTGTTTAGTATGAATAGAGCCCTTACTGCCATTCTTTTTTTGTAAGCTCTATTATTGTTTTGTTTTGTGGTGCTGGGGGTTGAACCCACGGCCTTGTGCTTTCGACGCAAACACTCTACCAGCTGAGCTATATCCCCAGCCCTGTAGGCTCTATTTTTAATGCTCATAGTAAGAAATAACCAAAACTTTCATCAAAGCATGCAGAAAGGTTGGCTTTTTCTGTCCATATTTCCTACTTTACCATAACTTGTGTTTCCTCAGGCAGAAGCTGTTTGGATCTTTTGGTCATCCAGAGTCCATTTCCCAACTGGAATCCAATAAGCTTTAGGGAAATTTCTCATTCCCACAGACTAGAGTCTGCTGGAACTATAATCAAGAGACTGGCCTCCTTCCTTTCCCTTTAAATGCATGAATGGATAACCCCAGTTAAAATTTTCAGGTCTTTCTCCAGAATTTAATGTTTAGCAAACAGAAAAAGACAGTAATCTTTTACAGAACCATTAGCTGAAAACATGGAAAACTTCCATTCCTTCCAAGTGGTAAGATCATGGTAAGGTCATGGTCAGATTGCTCTTGGTATATTGACACAGTTCTGGCTTCCTAAACTTTAGAGCTGCCTACCTGTCTGCCCATTTCCAAAGTGAGTTACCCAACCTTCATGGATTCCAAGACCCAGACAGAATTCTATAAATGGTTTTTGGTTGTATCTATGAAAAGGACCTTAATTTAATATACAAGAATATAGTAAATACCAATAAAACTATTGCAACAACATGATACATGATACTTTTTCTCTCAGTCAAGACATCTTCTAATTAGAACAGTCTCATTTTCCACTCTCCAATCAAAGAGAATATCCATACAAATTTCTACTCTAGATGGGACAAAACAAAAATGCGCTAGCAAAGAAGTTTGTTGGAAACGACTTACTATAAATATTAATGCTATCTTTGGAGATCACTAGACTGGAAGTTCCATTATGAATTTAAACTTGGTCCTTGAAGTCAGAATTCAGTTATCAATTTTCTGCAAATATTTCTTAATCACTGTAGATTCTTGTAAGCCACAGTTTCTGTTTATTTGTACACTATCACAAAGAGCTTGGGTATTAAATGTGGAAGGATATATAAAGAATGATTTGTGTTTATAAATTTAACAGACTACAAGAGTACCAACACTGAAATAATCAACATGATGTAAGAATCAGAGTGAAATTTTCTTTTGCTTTTTGCTTTGTTTTTAAATTATAATTTAATCAATTGACTGGTTTTGTGTGTGTGTGTATGTGTGTGTGTGTGTGTGTGTGTGTGTGTGTGTGTGTGTGTGGTATTGGGGTTTGAACCAAGAGTCTCGTACTTTCTAGGAAAGTACTCTGCTACCAAGCTACATTCTCAGCTCTGCTTTTTGTATTTTTAAAAGTGATATATATGCATTTTACAAAGCTCATTGAGTATGTAACCAACTGAAGGAAATTTTCAAAGAAAGTAAACTTGTCTTTGACATGTCTTCAAATTTTTTTCCACATCCCTTCTTTTCCTAAAATTCTATCTTTAAGTCTCTAAGCTGCCAGTGAATTTATGCTGTTCTGACATTCCACCTGGCTCATTCCATTGAGGCTCGTTCTGTTGTGAGTCACATCAGCATTGCATCTGTTTCTGTCTTTGACCTTTCCCAGGAAGTAGACATCGTCAATTTACACAAATTTAAATTTTCTCAGCATATTTATAAGTTAAACAGACATAGGAGCTTAAAGATAAGCCACTCAATGATTTATCAATGGCAGTTATTCCTCTTGGTAAATGCCTAAATCAGATAAGCAATAACTAATGTGATAAACTAAAAAAATGTGTTTATTAATAAAAAATGTGTTTTTCAGTCAACAGTTTTACAACATGATGTGTAAAGTAGTGTTTTCAACCCTGGTTACTACTGGGGAGGAGTTATTAGTTATTCAGACAGAGTTACTTCAGAACCCCAAACACTGGTTTACTCTTGTACAAAATGAAATATAATGTTACTTACCTCATGAGTCTGTTGAATATTAGATGGAAGACCCTGCCTAGTATATTTTGGCCACACACACAAAAACACTCTACAAACATACACTTTTAGCATCATCCCTGGTCATTTTATTAGTATGTGCTATTGTGATGCTCACTCAGTAGATGTGAAGGCACTACACACAGAGAACTTGACAAAGGAAGATATTACTTATCTTTAAAAAAGTAGAATTTTAACATATTTTCCTAATAAATGACATAATTATAATAATTATGCAAAGGATAGCCAAAATTTCTCAAAAGTCTATGCAGAAAGATGTAACCTGGTGAGACATTTATGCATTTTTGTACTGTGAAGTTATTGTGTGTTTGAGAGATTATGGAAATTTTTATCTCTTTAAAAAATAATTTATATAAAATGAATATACCTACACATATAATCTATATAAGAGTATTTGTAATTATATATAATAATGGTTGATATAATTATAAATTTTATATATTGTTATCTGTCTATAAAACATCTATTATCTACCTAATGAACCTGGGTAAAAATTTGGTAACCTTATAAAACACTGTTATAAGGTCTTGAAGCACCTGTCATTAAAAAAAAAAAAATCTTCTAGCTTTGGCACCAGAAAAGCATGAGTTCAAAAGTTAGCTCTAATTGTAGTTCCTGTGTTTTTCCTCCTTTATGACTTTGCTTCTGCAGCTCTGTATACCTGAAATGCCTCCTCCCCAAACCCATGGTGTAACTAGCTGACATCTATTCATCCTAAAAGACTCATCTTGTGATTACCTGTCCTGGGACTCATTTTTAAATCCCCTCAGGTAGATTCCCAACGTATCCTACACACTCCTTGTCAGCGCACTTACTGAGTACATTGTAGTGTCCTCTGCCCCCTGGTCTATGAATCCAGAAGTTAGGGACTGTGCTTTATTCATCTTTGTATTCCTGA